TAACCCAATGCTATGTGATCTCACATACCTCGTAGGGATCACCCCTTGACGAAATCCACAAGTGAAAACCTTACGAACGATGATCTTTGTCTCTTTTATCCTCTTCTCTCCTCTTGCGTTCTTTCTCCAAAAACCATAACTCTAATTTCAAAAGCGTAAACTGAATCCTATCAGTTTAGACCTTATAAATATTACCTAAAATGAATTAATTAAGTTGGGTACCAAACTACCCTTTCAAAATCCAGATTGGACTTTCCTTAATTGAAGAACCCAACTTCCAATGGGCATATCTCACTCATACGAACTCAGAATCGCGCAAACTCGGCGGCATTGGAAAAATTATTCCAAGATATTTTCTACGATACCTGGAACAACACCTAACTCATCCTGAGCTAGGAGTTATGGTCATTTGAAGTTGACCAAAACTCAACTTAACATACTTACCAAATTTCCAGATTTTTATATTCTTTCCAAAAATGGCTATTTCCAATTTTTAATTTCTTCCTAGTTATTTAAATTTGCGAGATGTTACAATATCTCCCCCTTAGTTTTGGTTTAGTTGCTTAGTTGGGATGTAGTAGTGGTTCTCCCACCATACGGTTAGTGTGGGTGCCAATCAGGACGGTCTGGGTTGTGATAGAGAAGCTTCTTTTTTTATACCCTTGCATAAATTAATCTTGTTAATCCATTTCCCATTATTATAAAAATAATTACACCTCTTCACGAATTAAATTTTGTTAATCTATTTCCCATTATCTATCTATCTATGATATATTAAAAGCACGAAAATTTTGAATAATATTGATTTAACATTTTATCCTTTATTAAAAGACCACCATTTAGACAATATCGTTTTTTCATCATTTTCTTCTAATTATTATTTAATTATGTTTATTGTAATTATTTATTATCTTAATACAAATCATATATATATGTCTTAATACAAATCATATAAGAGTCCAATTCTTTCTTGATATTATTGGTCAAACTTCAACTATAAATTAAAATTAGTAATATTGGTTAAATTTCAACAACAAATAAATTTTTTTAAAACAACTACCGTTATATTTCATTATAATACTTATATTTTTTTATGAAATTGAATTTTATATTATATTATATTATATATTTTATATTTTTATATTTTTTCTATAATAATTAAAAATTATTCGAATACATTATTCTCAAGAGAAAATACATAAAAAAAATAAATTCCCTTGAACTTGGCGACATAACTTACTTTAGCACTTAAACTACACGAGCGTTTATTTATCCCCTTAATTTCATTTCTTGTGAATTTAATACCACCTTAACAGATGACGTAGTGAAAAAAGAAGCGCAAATCTTGTTTTTTAAGAAAATAATGGTCCTACTAGCATAAATTATATATATACAATGAAAAAAAAAATCCCCACCTACCCCATTCTTCTTCTTCTTCTTCAAACCCCTCCACCCCTTTCTCAAAACCCCACCTGCCCCTGCTTGTCTCTTCTTCCTCAAACATTACTTATTCTATACCTGAATATGCATTAAGAAGTGAAACAAGAAAAGTAACAACTAAGCTAAAAAATTAGCACATCGATTTTGCATAAATTTAAAATCGCCATTGTTGATATAAGTTGACAGTTTCACCTAGTTGGAAAAAAAAAGTATGGTTATTGATATAAGTATTGATGGAAGTAATAGTGAATAATTACAAAGCAAATGAAAAATAAAGTGAATCAATCAATGTGAAATTTTGAATGTTAAGAAATCAACCCAGATGAAATAATGAAGAGAGTGGGGGAAGAGTGAATACAAATTTTTAAAAAGATGTGGGGAAGTAAAGATAAAGAAAAAATATATTTTTTCAATTATCTGGCATGTCATTGATGTGCCACCGAGGTGTCACTTAGGTGGCGCGCGTGCATTTCACCCATGAGTATGAAACTGGTATTGTATGTGTAAGGTGCTATTAAATTCACTTGCAATAAGATTAGGGGGTAAATAATTACCCGTAAAGATAAAATGCTAAAGTAAGTTATGCTGCCAAGTTCGGAGGGGGGGGGTTATGTGTTTTAATATGAACTAGAGCATTTTTTTTCTTCTAAAATTCAAAACACTAATTACACCCCTTGCACGAATTAATCTTATTAATCCATTTTCCATTATTATATTATAATTACACTTCTGTCATTAATTATAGTCGTTTCTCTATTACCTTTTTCTAGGTATTTCATTTATTATATTCAAACGGTGATATAGTAAAATTATCCTTCTATTTATAATTTCTTAAAATGTGTGCAAAGTCAATAGTGGACAAATATTGCTAGATAGGAGACTAATTAATTCATCAATGACTTGTACCAAAGTTAAAGCTCCAATAATAGATTTCTCTAATGAAGAGTTAAAACCAAACATTGCACTATAGACAAATAATTGTAAGACCTTGCTCTAATACGAATTGAAAATGGATGAATTGCCTTATTTTTATTTTTTAGTCGACCACTTGAGCCCAATAATTGACTATATGAAGTAAGAAATATGAAAATAAAGATAACAACTTATAGAAATATAAATAAAAGAAATATAAATGACTTAGACGATTTTATACTGTCTGGGATCTGGAATGGACCTTACTCCAATCTCCTTGGATGAAAGGGTGTTTTCATCCACATAAACGATGTCATTAATAGAAGGGAAAATTTTCAAAATGTCAATATTTTGACATTTAATAGAATTCCTTAACCACACTTTTAATATTTATTAATAATGTCAATATTTTAGTTTGTTATGTATCTGATTTATGTATTTTTTATTTATTTGATTTACAAGAATACAATTATTTAATAACAGAAAATAAATTGTATCCTAATATTTATATATGACCCATAGATAAATAGCAGATAGAAATACTCATTTATATGATATTATAGCATGATGACTAATTGATGGATGAATGATGACAAATAAATTAAAGAATATTCAAGGAGGGTAAATAAATCAAGAAATTATAGATATAAATAATTTTGTTGAGATATTAAATAATTTTCTTGTTTCATTTTATGTGGCACTGTTTGACTTGACATGTTATTTAAGAAAAAAAGGAAAACTTTTGAAACTTGTGGTCTAAAACAATCCTTAGATATTTGTGTGACTGTAAATTATTTCATTATGGGTAAAAAAAATTTTAAAGTTAAAATGTTTCTAATTATAGTAAGGTGACATTCTTCTTGGTGCGGACTAAAAAGAAAAGAGTGCCACATAAAATAGGATAGAGGGAGTAATATTGTTTTCATAAATTTATCTCTACATAATGATGAAAACTCTCATAACAATAATAAATTTGGTGTGGTGGCATCATTATCTTATTTCATTATTATCGCTATATAATGATGAAAAGTCTTATAATAATGATCAATTTGGTGTGGTCGCGTAATTATCTTTATCGTTTCATAAACATCATTTTTTCTATGCTTATAATTTGATAATCCTAATTTATTTTTTACCTTACTTTTTTGTAATAACTCTATCTAGTACCCTATTCTATTTTTTAAAATATAATATTATATATTTATTCTTTAAATTATAATGTGGTAATGATGTAAAATAATAAAATATATCCATATGGTGTATTCATCAAAATGATATAATATAATACAACACAATACAATACGTTATAAAACTATGGGCAACAACCATCCAAATATAAATTCAAAATATTCAACCGCTCATATGTTTTATTCATCAAAACAACATAGTACAACACAACACAACAAATTACAACACAGTACAATACTTTACGAAATCATATGTAATAACCATCCAAATATAAATTCAAAATATTCAACCAATCATCTGATACATTTTATTCATCAAAACAAGACATAAATAAATTTTCATAGCTACTAAATTTTTAAAGACCACAATAATTCTTGACACTCAATCCATTTTTAGCACCTAACATAATATATTTATTAAATTCAGGCAACTTAAAAGGCTTGAACATTAAGGGGTGTTCTTCATCCACTAATTCTTTTGGGACCTTCAAAATATAATCTGGATTTGGGAAGGAAAATAATTGAATAGATAATCTATCTTTGTCTCCTGTTGTTACAACCCTGTGTTGAGCAGATGTTAATCTATCATTTGTCCATGCCTATATAAATTCACAACGTCAACACATAAAAAGTATGTATAACAATTTATTTGTTTAACTAATAATTAAGGAACAAAAAGATTGACTTAAATTTCCTCTGAAGAATGAAAATTTTAAATTAATAAGATAATAACAAGACAATTTAAAAAATTATTATGATAGTTCTGGTATCATTTTCAACTTTCCAGAAAAGAGATGTTACTCCAACTAATATCAAGGTTTAATAATTTCTGCGAATTGAAGTTAGTTGAGGCCAAATAAAAAAAGACAGGTTGATGCATAAAATATTTGGCGTTCACATAGGGTTTGGATAAAGGGCAGTACTTCGCGAGATGTTAGGTAAACAATCTAACCCAATATAAATATTAGTGATTTCTTTAACGGGTTGAGCCCGCATCATGATTCATACATTACACACAAACAATTTTTTTGCGTTGCTTCAAAACTCCTCTAATATTAGCTTCTAGTTCGGCTTGAATAATCAATCATACAAAAAAAAATAAAGAGTTAATTGTCAAAAATACACATAAATAATGAGTTTAGGTGTATTTTTGATTCGTGTACTAAAAAATAAATAATAACTTACCATGAAAACATCTGCTGATAAAACAATATAGGAATTTGATGAAGTATGATTGAGCTCAATCCACTCTCCATTTTTGTAGAGAACTTGCAATCCATTTTGATTTTGTTTAATTATGGTCAAGTAGGAACTATCTGTGTGGGAAGGTAATTCTGATTTATTCTCATTTTTCACCTTTAATTACCTTGTAATTAGTAAAATCTTGACATATAAACATTGGAATTCAAGAATTCATCAATGTAATTTTTTAGCCCTAAGACTCTCCAAAACCATCTTTTCCACCATGTCATTCAATTCCATAAGTTGCTTGAAGTAGGACTTTGCCACATTGCTGCCAAATTAAAACATACAAAACTTATATAAATAGTAATGCAATTTTAATTGTGATACTACTCAAAATTATGTAAGAAATACACTTAATATATACCTAGCATACGTACATGTGCGATGTGCAGATAATATTAAAATGTTATTTTTAATCATTTTAGATTGTGATATCTTGTTTTATCGAGCATGTTAAATCATGTCCAACTATTGCATTGTTCCCCAATGAAATGTACTCCCCTCCATCCCTTCCCATAATCATAACCAATTCTATATGAATAGCCACAATGAATAATGTGATTAGATTGTTAAAAGAAGTAATGCATGCATACCTAAATTAGGGTTTCCATGAGACCAAAAGGTATTGGCAAATGTTTCAACACTATTTGGGAGGACCAAATCAACAGAGCTCACACTACCATAGAGTGGTATACTTGTAATTTACCCATCATAGATATGAAAGGGTTTCTCTCTATATTCTATCAATTTGGATAATGGAAAATCAAATACTTCTTTTAAAGTATCAAACACGCCCTCTCTAATTTCATTTGGAACTTTGTCATATATTGCTTCAAAACAACCAAAATCGTGTAAGGCTTCAAAAACTTAAACTTTTGCTGATTCCCATTGTGGAGTGTTTGGTTTAAGCTCAGAATTGCAAAAATCTATGGTGGGAATCTTAACTTTTGTAGATGCCATTTGAGGAATATTTAGGATATTATCAACAAACAATTCTTCACTTATTTATAAGAAAGAGAGAAAATGAGGGGATTCCCATCACTTTCAAAAATAATATTACTATTCAATGGACATATTTATTATGGAAAAATTTCCTAAATACACAATTTTTTTAGCATATTTTGTAAAAAATTCTATCATTTGAAAAAATTACAAAAATCTCTACTCGCTGCTATTCTCGGATACATCACTTTACACAATGTATCGGACGAACGCGATGTATCGGGACATTGACTGATGTATCCGAAACCGAGATGAGATATATTGAGACATTAAGGGATGTATCCGAAACCGGGACGCGATGTATGGGGACGTTTTGGGATGTATCCGAATTCCACCAAATTTAAGGAATTTTTGTATTTTGAAAGAAAGAGGGATATTATGTAATTAGTTCTTAACACTATAAGATTTGTGTAAAATTTCCCAAATATTTTAGGTCAAATTATGTGAAATGTGAACCCATTAGGTTTACTTTAGCTTTTTTAGCCCCTCATCTTCTTTAAAATTTAACATTCCGCAAATGTGAATCATTTGAAGCAAATTATATATCAAAAACTTATTATACGATTAAATATAACATGTAACAAGACTTTGCTCTAATTTCCACTTACTAACAATATAGCGAATTACTTAAATACACAACTTATTTTTACCATATTTTCTAAAATTTACTATCATTTGAAAGTATTACAAAATATCTTCTCACTCATATTCACGGATACATCACTTTACGCAATGTATCGGGATGTTGAGTGATGTATCGGGACGTACGCGATGCATCGGGACGTACGCAATGTAGCGAGACATACGCGATGTATCGGGGCGTTGAGTGATGTATCCATAACCGAGATGCGATATATCGAGATGTTGGGGGATGTATCCGAAATTGGGACGCGATGTATCAAGAAGTTTTGGGATGTATCAGGATTCCACCAAATTTAAGGAATTTTTGTAATTTGAAAGAAAGTACAAATATTATGTAATTAGCTCTTAACACTGTAACATTTGTGTAAGATTCTCAAATATTTTAGGTCAAATTATGTGAAATGTGAGCCCATTAGGTTTACTTTAGCTTTTTTAGCCCCTCATCTTCTTTATGTTGATGTTGCTTCTTTGTTCTTAGTCTGCGCCTTTTCTTTTCCTTCTTTAAAATTTAGCATTCCGCAAATGTGAATCATTTGAAGCAAATTATATATAAAAAAACTTGTTATACGGTTAAATATAACATATAACAAGACTTTGCTCTAGTTTCCACTTACTAACAATATAGCGAATTATATATATCAAGCAAATTATTTGGGGGAAAATTTGGCAAATAGTGTTTATCCATACAATTTATTATTATTTGGCAAATATTTTTGGCAAATATCCCAAATTCTCAAATACTAGTTTTTTCTAGTATTTGGGCCAAATCTCATTATTTGGGATCTTTTGAAAATTGAAATTTTACACCAAACTTTTATCTTTTACAAAAAAACCCTCTATAGTAGTTGTTTGCGTTGTATTACATAATATTTTACGTGAACACCAAAGTAGTGATGAAATATTCAGTGAATATGAAAGTGATGATATGGTTGTTGATGAAAATGATGAACAATCGACTCAGGGTAACAAAGTCATGTGCTTTGTCTACTTCACGATGTATGGAATGATGCTTGTTTCACTCACTCCAAACTACCACATTGCTCTAGTCAGGGGCGGATCTAGGATTTGGAGGTCGTGGGTGCCACAACGTTCAAGTAAGATAAAATGATCGGTTGCTTTAATTTTGGGTTACAATTCGGGTTACTGATTTTTTTTTATAAACAAATCGATCAAATATGCATGTTAGTAATATTTTCTTTTAGATATTCTGAGATTAGAGATAACTAAACAATTCAATTTTTTTCCTTTTTGGAATTAGATGTCTTATTTGCTGAAACTTTGAGAAAAAAAAAAGATTTTTCACATTAAAATTTGAGCTTGTATAAACCATCTAATAGTATTAACATAATATATTCATATTACATTGACTTTATGTGTGTTGGAGATATATAGGTAGGGAAAGAAATAAAAATTGTAGTTTCAGCCTAGTCATCTTACTTAGCAAGAACGTCGGTGAAGATTGAAAGAACCTTTATTTTTTTAAAAAAAAACTCTTATAATAATAATAATCATTTTTAAAACATATTTTTAAAAACTACTATTTGAATATATTCTTAATAATATTTATTTGACGTTCATAATTTAGTACTCATTAATTGATAAAAATAAACATGTAACACACATATCAAGAGATTAATAATTAGTGCAAGAGAAAGTAAAAAAAAAAAATTAAAAATTAATCATGAAAAGGAGTCAATTTGAATTAATAAAGAATAGTAAATAAATAAGAATGAATGGAGAAAAAAAAATTAAGCACCTTTACATACTAATGAAAAAGACAAAAAAGAAAAGGAGCAAGCAAAAAGTTAAGTGTTGGCAATGAGGTTCGAACCCGCGTTGGCTGTGTGGCAGACCAACTCCTTCACCAATTGAGCTGTTCCGCATTTCAGTCAGTGGGTGGCAAAAGTAATATATATTAAATTATTATGCATATATACATATATAAACGACGTTTTTTCCGAGATCACTGGGTGCCGTGGCACCCCCACCTGTCCACATAGATCCACCCCTGGCTCTAGTGTCATGGACACTACTTGTTATTCATTACAACGAAGATCCAATTGATTTGTAATACAAACTTATGGTTAGTTTTGATAGTTTTTAAAACTTATGGGTATAAATTATATTTTTCTAAAAAAGTGAAATATATTTCCCAAATACTATGGCCAAACATATAGTAAAATTTCACCCAAATAATATTTGTCAAGAATATTTGGAAATCTATGACCAAACGCTGGCTTATTCTGATAATTTATTAATTTTTAAATTTACATTACTTGTTATATGATTAAATATAATATATTTACTTTTAAAAAGAATGTCAGTAGATGCAGTGGATCCACTTACTAACAATAATGACTTTGCTCTAATTTCCTCCATATATTTCACCTTTGAATATATGGTGGAGGTTGAAGAGTAAGTAATTATTATGTGCAACCATGTGTTGTATTAATTTGCCTGGTTTCTGCCTCGGGAAGGTTTAGGCTTATTAGTGTCGATTATTAATTGTATTTTTATTTTTTTTTTATCATATGTTATTTATACTATTTTGATGTTAAGTATACTATGAGATACGAGTGTTCATATGAATAGGTTTATATCATGAAGCTGATATTCATAATTTTATAGAGTAAAATTGAGATTAATGGGCTAAATGCCATTTGAGGAATATTTAAGATAATATCAAAGAGAAAAAAGAAACAAGAAAGACTTCAAAGTTTCTTTTAAGGTACACTTTACTTTACTCTCTTTCTTCACTTATTACTAAGAGGGAAAATGAAGAGCTTCCCATCAATTTCAAAAATAGTATTAATATTCCATGGGAATATTTATTTTGGAAAAATTATCTAAATATATAATTTATTTTATCATAGTTTTAAAATTTTTCCATCATTTGAAAAAATTACAAAAATATCTATTCACGTCTATTCTCGTATACATCACTTTACGTAATGTATCAGAACGTACGTGATGTATCGAGACGTTGAATGATGTATACGAAATCGAGATGTGATATATCGAGATGTTGAGAGATGTATTCGAAATCAAACACGATGTATCTGTAGGGGTGTCAATGGTACACTTTGGTCGGTTATTTTTTAAAATTATGAAATCCCAATTTTTCGGCTATTTTATAATATATAACCAAAATTAGATTTTTTAAAACCAACCCAATCATATCGGTTTCTCTTCGGTATCGGTACGATTCGGTTAATTTTCGGTTTTTTTACTTTAAAAAATCACCTCAAAATATACTACTATTAAATATTTATTTCACAAAAAGTTCTTGAAGAAGCACTTTAATTCTTCACCAAGAAGACAAGAATGTAAAACCTTGTTGCCGTATTGTTTGATCTAAAACATTTAATAGGAGTGTTTGCATAGGTTTTGTTGTATTGTTTAATAGAGCATCTATTACAATATCTTTTAATTGTAAACTTAATTAAGTAAAGACTAATTAAAGAGTTAAGACTCAAAGTCGTCTAGACACCAGAGGCCTAGGACCTAGGTTATATTTATACTAGTGTACTTATCCGCGCTTCGCGCGGAATTGAATATATTTTTTAAATAATTGATGTTCTTAATTGACTATTTTTCAATAAAAAGTGTATAAAAAGCAATACAAATCAAGCCACGATCTTGATGTTGTCTATTCAAAAATTGCTAGAAAGATAATTAATTTCCGCTTAACAATGCCGATATAAAGAAGAAAAACATAAAACTTATCTTAAGAAAAAAAATTAAGTTGATTATATATACAACATTACATCAGAGATTATACTTTGCAATGGAAAATAAAAGAATTGAAACACATACTATATAATAAAATGTATATTTATAAGAAGTCATGATGTCATTAGTAATTTGATGTGTACTTATCTACTCGATTATATGAAAATTATCATAGAGTGACAAATATTAATTTTTTTAGAGTACATGAAGTGTCAAGTTAGAGTTGAATCAATGTTTGTCCTTAACACATGAAGAGGAGTGGAAGAGTATTATAACATTAATCTAATTCTTATTGTAGTCATCACTAAAAAAAATTAATATATGATAATAACTATTACAAAAAATAACTCCTTTAGTAGAAAAATTAAGATAGATTAATTTTTACTTTAAATAATTACAAGTTAAATACATATTAATCACACATGCACATTTATTATAGCATAACTATAAAATTAACTTTTTATTATATATGTACACATAAATGA